TTTAATCTGAAGTAGGCACATTCCCGAGGAAAGGGGCTATAACCTTATCCTCACAGTCGTCTCAAGAGTTCATCTTCACAATGGCCCGGCTGTGAAAAATTGTTTTGACAGAAATTGAGAATCCTTCTGCACAGCCTGTACAGGTGGTAAAATGGTTCTACTTTACCATTCTAACACAAGCTCTATTGACCGGGAGCACTATTAATAATAAATTATCTCTTTCCCAGTAACATGGACTTTATATCCTCCAGCTGAATGGCACTCTATCAAAGAGGAGGCATTATGATTTGTTTGGGGACCACTGCACGCACACTTGTCAAAAGATAGATGCTGGCTTGTTAAGGAGAAATATACAGCAGTTTAAGCTTAGTTGAGATCACTAGTCTCAAGTGAATGTATGTTCACACCAAGAAAACTACAGACCAGCTTCAGCAAAATTGGCAGTTTCTGTTCAGAGATGCCCAGGCCTGAAATAAAAGAGATACTACAAATCAAGAATGAAGGGCATTGGCAGAGCTGTGTGGCGGTAGATTGTATTGCACCTGCCTGCCCTATGCCTGGTTCTCAGTCTCCCCTGAATATTAGAATGACAGGGGAAAGCTGCAGGTTAGGGGTGAAACCCTTCGGCAACAATGTCCGAAGCATAAGGGGTCATGGCTGAAATATTTGGGGCAAGTACAGATCAAGTTTGAGGGGAATTTGCAAAACCAGGCCTGAAACAGCAGGGATATGACAGTTGAGAAGCAAATTGGCAACCTTTGAGAGCAGCAGACAGAAAAAGTAGGAATGTAGTAGGTTATAGATCAGGAATAAGGAGGAATTAAAGTGCTAAGTGGATCAAGACTGGAATAAAGGTGTGTCGATCAGAGTTCAGGTGTACTGGTGGAGCTGGGTGAAGAAGACTGCTGTACTAGAACAGAAGGATGTTAGTGGATTACAGCAGTGAGTTTCAACCAGGGGTACTTGTACCTCTGGGGGTATGTAGCGGTCTTCCAGGGGGCACATCAAGTCATCTAGATATTTGCCTAGTTTTACAACAGGCTACATAAGAAGCACTAGTGAAGTCAGTACAAACTAAAATTTCATACAGACAATGACTTGTTTATACTACTCTATATACCATACACTGAAATTGAAGTATAATATTTATTTTCCAATTGATTTATTTTATGATTCTATGTTAAAAATGAGAACAGAAGCAATTTTTTAGTAATAGTGTGCTGTGACCCTTTTGTATTTTTATGTCTGATTTTGTAAGCAAGTAGTTTTATGACAAATCAGACTCCTCCAAGGGGTACAGTACTCTGGAAAGGTTGAGAACCACTGGGTTACAGGTTCGGATTAAGGTGAATCAGAAGGGGAGCGAATAGCTAAAAGGCATTGGATTACAGGTCACCCTGGAGGTACATTATCAGAGGTACGAACAAGCTCAGGACCAACATGGAGAAGATTTGGAATCAGGTTTGGCAGAGCTGTTGGTGAAAGGGGCCGTCCATATCAGAATAGCATAGGTGCTGCAGATCAGTACAGCATCGCTTTGGCAATGGTGTACAGAGAGCCCTTGCATGAAAAATAGCAGTGTTTGAAAGCTCTGGGGTCCTTGTATGGAAATACCAGGTTAACAGTGAGATGCATTGGCAGAGGTGTAGAAGTCAGGTGCAATGGAATGGTGGTTAATATACTGAGGAGGTGTATTGACAGTACTTTTTGATAAATGGAATACCATGGAGTGGTGAGCTGTATCAGCATTCCAGCAACAGAACACTATTGGAGGCATCATTTACTTTACCTGAGAGGGGAATGTGTGGTTTCTTCCACTGCAGCGAGTGCTGTTCTAGACACTGACTACAATAGGCATTTAGGGAGATAGGAGATTCACATCCTTCTGTACCACAACACACATGGTCGCCACTGGCCAAAGATGAGTGTTGAAGTGAAGTGAAAAAAAAAAAAGGCATTATTCTACTCAAACCTCACTTCCCAGAGTCACAGTCCCATAATTCCTCATATTCCATTCTAACCCTCCTCTGACAGCTCCCTGTTCCACCTTCCCTCCTGATCTGTGTCTGATTTCCACTCTCCACAGTTTACACACACAGCTGGGAAGAAGGAGGAAGAAAAATGCCAGTACCGTATACTGCGTTGCTGCAGTCAAGAAGTAACCCCATGTGTATTACAGCATGGCTATTGTTAGCCTGACAGTAACTCATGCCTTGCCATTTTTATTACATTTTCCATGTGGAATTGGATTGTTTGTGAAAATATAGAACATCATTGGATTTCAGAAATTAAAATCTTTCCATATAAGTCTATTCTTAGTGTCAAAGGCTTTGTAAGTATGTCTTTTTATGCTAAGAACATTAAGCAAATCAAGGGTTAAGAAATGTACTTAATTTGGCATTGTATTATGACAAAACAATCTTTCTTTTGTTTTTATCATAGATATAAATCTAACCAGCATCAATTTGCGAGGGGCAGAGGCGGCGGGGGGCAGTAGGAGAGGAAAAATGCAGGAGACTTCAGATTCCTTATTTAACCTCTGTTTTTCCCTGCTGTCCAACCTCCAAAGCTCCAGGTCACAGCCACAATTGGCTGAGAAGAACTGGCTCAGGTTTCAAGTTAGCTGAAGGGACTGTCAACTGAGCAACACAACACATTTCCCACATCCTCCTCTGAAAAGGTTTCCACACATTTTGGATTAGGTTCTGTTGTTTTATCTGATTCCGTTCGCTCCATCCCTCTTTACTAAAAATGTTTGGAACTGTAGTTCTCCTCTGTGGAGAGACCCAATTTCAAGGTGACACTATTGCAGCTGCTATTCTGGAACAGCAGAATGCAAAAAGGGCACTTTTCACTCTACCAGGGAGCTGTCTCCCGTGGTGGTGCTTAAAGATAAATATAATCAGCTTAGAGATGCTGTTATGTCTCCTGTTTTCTTCCTCCTCCTAATGGCTTGATGACTAGATCAATTGCTTAATCAGATCAATGAATATTAACAAGACTATGGGCAAACTCTCTTAGCTGAATAAGGATTGAGCCATCCTGTTTGTGTACTCTGCACTAGAGCTTTAGGATGAGTTTTCAAACTAGATAAAACAGTTATTTTCCCTAAGAACTTTCAAAAATATTAGTCAACATATGCTACAGTCATAAGCCTCAATTTAGTGTCTTTTCACATCTCATTGTAGATTCATGTTTCTCTTCCATGCCTAATCCTGCAAACTGCTTACTACATTGAGTCACACCCTTGAAATCAATTGGACTACTCACAGAAGTAGAGTCTATTGCTTGATAAGAGGTATTCGCAGGATTGAGCTCTAAATCAGTAGCAACACCATGTTACTTTCCATATTCTTGCCTTGACTTCTACATTGCTGGAGGTCTGTATTTCACTCCTGTGCTGAACGTGGACATAGGCCATTGTTTCTGATACAGAGATGTCAAATCATGCTTCTTCTCATCCCTCTGACTGAATCAGCCTAACCTGAAAGTCTCTGGTCAATCCAACCTTCCTCAAAGTAGATTTTGCTGCCTATTTACAAGAGGATATTGGCTTTTTGCATTTTTACTAATCATTGTAATGAGTTGATTGTCAGGGAAATGTGCCACAAAGAGTAAAGTCTCTTTATCCACATAACAGGTAAAGCACCAGTGAAAGCTTCCTCAAACTGTCCCAACAATGCGCTTCAGGCCTGGCCTGGAAAAAGATACTCCAGGGCTGAGAGGGCATTTCACGGTTAATGGTTTATTCAAACCCTTATCTTCTCTGCTGGGATTGCAAACAAAGTAGAAAATTAGAACTAGTGTCATTGTGGGATTTTGTGAGGTGGACAGCTGTCCACTGGGAATGGAACTGAATCCCCTGACTCATTCTACATCTGTCACCGAGAGCATCTATCACACGGCAATGACTTTTGGTCTCAATAGCCATGGACAAGTTCCAAGCTGGACATCTGGGAAGGAATGGCTCTATATTCCGATGCCATGCTCCTGAGTCACCCCTGGTTCCACAGGTTGAGACACAACTTCATTGTGCTAGAATGGTCCCTGTAATAGAGATTTAATATTCCCATGGGGCTCCTGTGCACAGTGGCATAGCCAGCTTCTAAGAGGAGGGGGAGCAAACCTAAAAAAGGCGCCCCCCCTTGGCTCCTCCTCTGGCCACGAACCCCTTGGCTGGCTCCTCCTCCGGCCGCTCCGCGCCCTCCCCCCCCTTGACTGGCTCCTCCGGCCGCACCACCCCTCCCCCCATGGCTCCTCAGGTCGCGCCTGCCATCCGCATGCTGCGCCTCCCCCCCCTCCTCCGGCCGCGCCTCCCCGTTCTTCTGGCCGCCCCCCCATGGCGGCCGGCCGTGCTGCGGGCGGCCAGCCTACGCCCCTCCTCGCTCCTCCGGCTGCAGTTGGAAAGGCGCCGCTTTGGGCAAATTTGCTGAGGGGAAGCGGCTGCTTCCCCTACACCCCGCTAGCTATGCTACTGCCTGTGCACGCAGAAGAAGTCTAAAGGAACTGTGATGAAGTATCTGGGGAGGACAAGAAACAGATTCCTCACATTATCTTCCGAGCAGCTCTCCCAAATGCTCTTTCAAGCCTCCTGACTTTAGCCGACCTTTTTGTTTATTTGCTGATCATGTGCTGTATTTGCCAAATTTATTTCTAATGTCTCAAACGGGAGCCTGTATCCCCCTGTTCCTATGTGATGTCACTATATAAGATATTGCATGGCAATGTTGTGATGCAGACTAGAGCTATACAAACACTTAACAGGTGTTCAGAGATCACCCTAAGGAAATCCAATCACTAGGTTAAAAATTGTTACTCTTTACAGAAGAGAACCAATTTGGCATCATCTTTTATGCTTTGACTGAAGGGCACATCCAGAAAATAGGCCCAGGTCAGCTTTTCCCTTCATTTCCTCTTCCTCCCGTACTCACCTCTTATTTGCGAGGCCATATTCCTTTTAGCACTAATTCATAGTTTTTCATTCAAACCATGGTTCTTACCTGTGACGACGCTGGGGATTTTAGACAGAAAGCTCTTGACTGTTCGGATGGGAACTCCACCTGCTTTGTCATCCTGCATTCTTGTAATTATATCTTCAATCTGCCAAGGGGGAAGGAAAGGATTACATTGGGTTTGCAAGAATAGTGACTATAGATACGCAAAATACTGAAAGTATTGGCACCAGCAAAAACTAGGTGCCATGGAATCTTTTCATGTCATTTGCTAAGATTTGCTAAGCTATTCCAACTCCCTTGTCACTGGGAAGAAGGGGAAAAGGGATTGAAAATGTATTGATATGATTGGTTAATGCAAGGCTTACATGAACAATCCTAGAAATGGAAGACTAAGTTCCAGACATGTCAACGACTTCCATTTTTTCCTATTGGGCCATATCTTGAATTCCTTACTCAGTCAAAACTCACACTGAAGACAGTTGGCCCAGAATAATTAATGCACTTCAAAGGTAAAAGTAAAAGAATTGGAAAAAAATGAAGCAAGTGGAAAAATTAAGCAAAATTTCAGATAGTTTCAGTTGCTCATGGCATTGGTTGCCACGTATTTGGGAATAGCTGCATCACACACTCATGGCTCCAGCACATAAATAATGTAATCAATCCAAACATGACAATATTTATTTTTTGTAGACTGATAATGTGATAGGCCCTACACAAGGGGAAGAAAGTTCCTGTCCTGAAGAGCTAGCTCATGACATCCAACATAATTTTTTCCCTCTTATTCCACGTCTCCCCAAAACAGTGGAACAAATCAAAGCTGAACTTGCATCCTTAAAAAGTGCAGTGATGTGAGTTACCTTGGGAGTGAGACAAATGGTGCTGTGTGTATTGCTATACTATTCTTACTAGCTGGCATCTGACTAGAACTAGTTGAAGTAAGTGTGTGTGTGTGTATAAAAATTAGTGTTGATGAAAGTTAGTATGTCTTTTTTATTGACATAAACAGGTACAACATTGATGGCAGCAGCAGCTCAAACTTTCTAATACTCCCTTCTCAACTACAGCTGTGTGAAATAATGGATTTTTTGGTTTGCTGGCAATTATGAAAAAAATTAAAATTCATTTTGGTTCGGGTCAAAACCAAATTAAAATTTTGTCAAATCAATAAATTGAAAAAGGCTTGTTTTGGGTGAAACATTTCATTTCAACAAAACCTAAACGTTTTGTTTCATTTTCAACCTTTTAAAAGATTTTTGGGAAATCTGAAACAAAAAATCATTTCAAACTGAAAAATCGAAACATTTCATTTTGAAAAAAATGTCAAAATAAAATTTAGATATTTTTTTTCTGAATTTTTGCTCAAAAAGCAGTTTAAAGAAACAGACACGAATTGGCATTTTTTGGCATTTTGGCATTTTTTGCCTTCACAGCTGAGAATTTATGCCAATTCGGGGAGGGGGGGCTGTTTTTCATGGTGTGGAACACTTTACAGTCACTGCTGAGCTGGGCTGTCTTTGAATCAGCAATCTAGAGGGAGAATACTCAGCTTAATAATCACCTGAGCCATGCCACACTCTCTCTCTCTCTCTCTTAAAAAGCAACAGAGGGTCCTGTGGCACCTTTGAGACTAACAGAAGTATTGGGAGCATAAGCTTTCGTGGGTAAGAACCTCACTTCAGATGCAAGGCATCTTACCCACGAAAGCTTATGTTCCCAATACTTCTGTTATTCTCAAAGGTGCCACAGGACCCTCTGTTGCTTTTTACAGATTCAGACTAACACGGCTACCCCCTGATATCTCTCTCTCTCTCTTATCTACATGACCAGTCTGCTAAATTTAGAGCATATTTTCCATATAGACAGTACGAAAGGGGAAAGGGTCAAGTGAAGATCTATCTCAGAGCAGTCAAACATTTCAGTAAAGGAAGATGGTAGAATCAGGCCACTTTTTTCTCTATTCAGAATCACTGGTTTTGCCCCCACTTTAATACTAATAGTGGAAGAAAAGATGAGAATTGAAAATTCTGGTAGTTCTGCGGCATGACTTCTAATTTAGCCACACACACAAGATGTTAAATTTAATTACATTATGGTCATTATTACTGAGCTGTTCAACTATATTAACCTCTTGGACCAGATCCTGTGCACCATTTAGGATTAAATCTAGAGTTGCCTCTCCCTTTGTCAGTTCCAGGACTAGCTGCACCAAGAAGCAGTCATTTATGGTGTCCATGGAGGTCCTGGACTTTCATCTCTCACCTAGAAGCCTAAATTTGGCCTCCAGGACCTCACACTGATCTTTCTGTATGTCACTTGTACCTACATATAGTACGACCATCAGCTCCTCCCCAGCACTGCACACAAGTCTGTTTAGATGTCTTGAGAGAGCCGCATCCTTCACACCCAGCAAGCAATTCACCATGCAGGTTCTCCTAGTCATCACAAACCCAGTTATCTATATTTCTAATAATTAAATCCCCCATTACTATTACCTATCTCTTCCTGATAACTGGGGTCCCCTCTCCCAGAAGGGGCATCCTCAATGTGAGAGGATATCATGACATCATCTGGAAAGAGGGTCCTAACTATAGGATCATTTCCTTCTGCTCCAGATTGATGGTCTTCTTCCCTGAGACTTTCATCCTCCTCAAAAGCACAAAAGCTGTCAGACTGGGGGTGGGACTGCTCTACTGTGTCCCGGAAAGTCTCATCTATGTACCTCTCTGTCTCCCTTATCTCCTTCAGTTCAGCCATGAGCTGCTTTGCACCAAATGCACACATATGCCACCTGCCTACAATCATACACATACATGTGACATTTAATAAATTGGATAGCCCTTATTCTGCACAAATGCATATAATTATTTCCAAAAGCCAAAATAACAGTAGGGTCTGATTGCTGGGGCAGTGGAAAACTCAAGTCCCTTCCTATTCCCTCTAAAATATTAGGGAATTTTTGCCCTTTTCAGGACATTCAATCTCTGTTTCCACCTGGAGACAATTGTGTCAGTTCCAGGGGGAATGACAAACTAAACATTAGTGCTGTGCAGATATCAAATATCTTCAGGACAGCCTTTCCTCTGATCAGAGGTCTGAGGTCTACAAGATGTCCCCTGTCCATGACACATTCAAGGCTCCTCTTCTACCAATGGATGTTTAAAATATAGTGCCCCCTTGTTACACTAGGAGTTGGAGTTCTGCAATTCTTCCATTCCCTTTGGAACGCAGGTCTGATGCCTAGGGGATACTGGATGCCCCTTTTTCAGTGTTTACATTTTCCCTATGCTTTCCTCAGGATGGATGGGCAGGAATGTAATCTTTGCAAAGAATCTCTCTCCACCACAATGACAGACTGAAGCATTATAGCCATGAACCTGGATGATTTCCCCTTAACTTTAGAAGCATTTTTTAAAAAATCTCAAGTCAACTTTGATTTGCAGGCTCCACTTCTACATTTCAAAAATTAATTTAATTCCAAGGTTTCCTGGGGTTGTAAGGCAGTCTTGCCTACTGCAGATGCTGAATTTGATCACCATGTTTGCAACCTCAGGCTATCACATGAATGAACTACTCACACCTTGTTTCTATATTAATTTTAAACTGACACATGCACTGGTGAATGGCTCAGCAGCAGAAACCAAGACACAGAGAAAAATGATGTTAGAGTTACAACAGATTCTGTTGACAGCTGGTTATCCATATTTAATCTGTCACAGACTAATGTTGCTTCCCCCCTACCATACTGACCACTGAGGAACAGAACAATTTTACTTACACCCTAACTCTGTGCACCACTCAGAGCTCTTAGTTGGCCACAATACTTTTCCCCATTTAAGAATTGTTGGAAGAGCAGCAGCTTGTGTGTCCCATGCTAAAGAATACACATTTCAACAAGGACTTTCAAAGAAATAAGAGCATCAAGACATCAATGAATGGCCTGGCAGCCATAACAGAGTCTTGCAAGGAACTTTCAAAATTACTCAGTGAACAAGAACATATGCAATTACAGTGCCACATCTATGCTGAGGACATGGAACTGCTAGTGAGCAGTCACTTGGTGAATTATGTCACACCAGCTTTTGTCCTCACATGGAAACCAGAATTGCGGAGGCACTTGAAGATATCAAAATTTGCTGATTCTTTCTGCATCTGTCTAAAATACAGCTTTTGCTATTGATACACATTGCTAAAACTCTTGTCCAGGCTCTCATCATTTCAACTACTGCAACATCTTCTCCAGCTTTGACAAATGCAATCTTGCCCCACTCGTATCCATGCAGAGTGTAGCTGCAAAGATTGTTTTCCTAGCCTGTCACCGGGACCGTGTCACACCCTCTCTCTGAATCCCTCCACTGGCTCCCCCCACCCCAATTCCATCAAACATAAGCTGCTTGTATTCACTTTCAAGGCCCTTCAGAGTCAAACCCCACCCTACCTATCACTTCTCATTCACTATCAAGTTGTCAGTGCTTACTTCTGATAAGTTCATGATGCCAACCGCCATTGCTCACTAGTTAAATTTTCAAACAAACAGCTCCATGCTTTCTCCCACACTGTCCCACAGACTTGGGAGGTAAATGTCCACAAAGTTACCACCTTCCAATCCCTCCTCATTATCCACTTTCAAAACTCTTAATCATGATGCCTACATAAAACTGGACAATGGTTAGGCTGCTGCTGTCCTGAGACCACCTCCCATCATGCTGACCAATATTATTTCATTGTTTGTAATCCCTCCATCTGACTGTATCCATCTGTTGTCTCTCATCCTATACCAACATTGTAAGCCACTTCGGGCAGGGATCACCTCTTTTGTTCTGTGTTTGTACAACACCTTGCATAATAGTCCCCTAGTCTACGGTAGGGCCATCAAGTGCTACAGTAATACAAATACCAATTGTAGTAATAAAACAAGAGTTAAGCAAAACATTCCCAAACAAAAAAAATACAGTTGAAAAGTTTGATTCACATGTATTCTATTATCCCAGCTTTACTAATGGAAAAACTGAGGCATAGAGCAATTAAGTGACTTGTCCAAGGTCACACTGCAAGTCTATGCAGATCCAAGAATAGATCCCAGATCTCCTGTCTTCTGGTCCTTTTTAACCATGAAACATTGACCAAGACTTTTAAACATGG